TAACAGAGTCTATTAAGGGTGACGATCCAAAGTCAGTACAGTATCACCTTCATGCTATGAGCAATAATCTCTATACTGATGCCTGTTTTCTGAAAGTCATCGGTAAGAAGTCACTGCTTCTATTTATCATTTCCCGACCTTTTCTTTACACACCCTCTCTGTGGGGCTCTGTGTGTAGTGACATTCAAGTAATGCTAAAATGTTTGAGCCTGAAAAGCCTCAAATTGACATTAAGATAAAAATGTTTCATAACCATACTTGCAACCAGACTTTCTTTAAACCCGAGTACACCGACTATAGAGCAAACAACTAAAACAGAAAAGATTAATGAACCGGAAGACATGCTTTTATTTACCATAATTATTTCCTCGATTGAATGCCCGTCCATAAGAGAATTGTTTCCATCAGTAGAGTGCGTTTTCAATTGAGTGTCGAAAGTAAACACGCATTTGCTTCGGTTTTGCTTTACTACACTCTCTGATTGGTTTGAAAAACTCGCGTCGCTTTCTTAACCAATCAGATGCTAAACTACAACCAATAATTGTGATTTGGTCACACGCGTTTTCCTGCGCTTGGCGCTGGTTACTGTACTTGCTTCGAGTTCTGATTGGTTCATTGTGTTGTTTTCGCCTGTTGTGATTGGCTACACTCAATAATTGAAAACCGCTCTATCAATACGTAGTTTCATAACTAAGCAAACAACTACAAATGCTGAGAGAGATATTATTCTGTCAGTGACACAAGCTACTCGGAAAAAAATTTCCGAGTTCCCCCAACAGGAGTCGAACCTATGACCTTCCACACACCGGTCGGACGCTCTACCACTGAGCTACAGGAGACTCGTGGGAGCTAAGGCCATATAACTAGGTTCAAGTGTGACAAACATCCCGCATACTGCTAGGATTAGATTTGTCGATGATAGAGAATTTGTGGAAAGAAATGATGGTATATTTTAAGCTACAAATGCTGTACTGAACAAACATTTTCAAATCAGTTCTAGGAGGCAGAACTTTGTCGTCTTGCAGAAATAAAAACCTTGTAAGTATTCAAGAACACACATTGTTAAATGTCTCTCACTTGGTTATTGTACATTACAGAGTAACTAGTCTTTCAAGAAGAGATTGGGACAGACGCAGGTTGGTGCGTTCATTATTTGTCCACAGAAAATGAATATTTGGCCAAGTTCCATCTCTGTTACTTTTGTGAAATAAACGGATTGAAACTAGAACAGGACGGAGACTTTTTAATGAATGTATACAAGCTCTGACTATTCAAAAGTTTTGTTTATCCCTTTCCTTCAGTGAACCCGCACTTATGGACATCTCCCGTAGATGATCACATTTCTCACTAACAGACGTAGCTTATAACTGTTTAAAATCAAACTGAAACACAGTAATTAATCACTCGGATCTCGTATGTTTTTGTAAATTACAAGTTATTTGAAAGCTGAAATATGTGCTAGAATTTCGAGTGTTGAATATTTGTAGGTTTAATAATGCGTTTTTTCCCACCCTTCCACCCTCCGTTTCTCCATAAACTGCCACTCCCAAAATGGTATCAATAAAGTGCGTTGCTGCGTACTTTGTAGCACTCATTATTTGGTGTCCACAAGCGTAGTATATACAAAGCAAGTGATTTTATGTATTGATATATTTTTCAGCCTTATGGTGTTAATCAAATTGGATCTTACATTAAGTACACGACCACAAGCACAGATGGGAAAGTCAAATATGGAAGTGGTAAGTTCCAGTGATCCCTGACGTCACTCTACATGTAGTGTATGTTCTCTTATAGACAATGGCTCTCAGCCAATGAGCGCGCGAGAAATGTTACAGTTATTGTAAAAACTCTTATCGAGCGTAGCCCATGTGTGCGCGAGAAGCCTTTTTTTCGCAGTAATGGAATATGCGTTATTGGCCAATCATATCGCGCATTATGTCATGTTAATGTGTGATTATGTTTTACAGCTGCGCAGTTGTCCCAGTCAGCTTACTTTGCCCTTCAGTGCCCCTACACTGTGTTTGGCTTGGGAAGAACGCCTAACTTTGTCGATGAGCTAGCTGTTGGTATTCCAAGATCGATAAATTCGGTAAGGATACTGTATTAACGAGCGCTGCATGGGAGGCGGGGAGTAATGTTAATAGTAACAGCTATAAATGCTTTAAGGCTGGTTCCCACTTGTAAAATAAGCACAAGCATAAGCACAAAAAAACTCAAGTGTGCAGCGAGGCGAAATAAACACAAGCACAAAAAAAAAATGAACTTTTTTATTTTTCTTGTGCTTGGACTTATGCTTATTTTCCTTATTTCACCAGTGGTAATCGATGTACAACATGCACAAGCATAAGCACAATAATTCAATCATATTGTCGTTATCAGTTCTCCACCGACGTGACTTCCGTCTAAAGCACTGCGCGTGCGTATGTCGTTTTGTGCTTGTGCTTATCGCAAGTGTGAACGTTGTTATGCTTATCTCATAATCAAGTGCAAACCAGGCTTAAACAAACAACTGCTTTATACGATCACCAACAGCCACAAGTACTTAGTACGTGTCTTTGCTTGATTTGCAGCCTGAGAGAAAACAGGTCTGGCCTTCAATTATACCGAATTCCCAAGTAATCGTGATTCCTTATCCACCGGATAGCCCTTCAAGGTAACAAAAATATTATGAACGGTAAATGTTAAAGGGACACTGTCCCGGCATATTTGCTCAAAACTGTTATAAATGCTAACAAACTTTTTGCAAAATTTCAAAGATTTCCGAGCCAAATTTGAAACTGACATCCTGACGTTTTTTCAAAAATCCATATTGCAATCCATTTCCATCCTCGCTGTCATTTGTCATCCTCACTTCCTAATGGGTTCCTGTCATTTGTCGAGTGCTATTCTACAGAATCAAACCATTATTGTTCAACTTCCTATGATCTAGATATGTTTCTGAGCTTCCCCAAATCATGCTAAAATCAGGACAGTGTCCCTTTAAGCTTTCAAGCTATATTCCGAGTTCTCGCAACAGTTGGCCATTTGGTAGGCTCGATTTCCGCCAATCTGGCTGGTAGTGATAATGTACCACATGATTGTTTACCACAGAAGAATAACGTGACACGTGCGATCCGTTCTTACTCCACGTTCCATTTCTGTTTCAGTTGGACAGCTAAGCTGTTAGTGACGCCCAGTAAACTGGTGTTATTGACAGGTGTCAGTCTCTTGGGCATATGCGTTTTCATCGGTCTTATCATCTTGTTGTTGCATCTTAAGGAAAAGGTGAGTTAGGCCACGCTACTTAACGGCGCTATGTCACGCTATTTTTTGTTACTCTTCCCTGTATTCCGAGCTCTAAACTCAAACATGTGAATGAAATTTTAATTCAGAGATGAAATTTCACTTACATAACGGACACAGATTATTTCTAAGCATTAATTGCCACTTGTTTCACGTTTTTTGCAGAGAGAAGATCAAAAAGCGAAACGTCAAGATGCTCACAAGTTCCATTTCGATGCCATGTGAAGTCGTGTGCTTGGCAGTAAATAGATGCCACCCGTTCTCTCCATGTTATGTTACTGCTCATATTTTGATATGATTATTATAAAATCGATGGCCCATGTATGGTACACGAAGAAACGAGAGGAAACGTCTGCTAAATACGAAAATAGCGAGGGCAGGGGCGGATTTAGGGGAGAAGCGTGGATTGGGTGGCTAGCCACCCCCCACAATCCGCCCAAAAAATTAAAATTAAAATCCATTTACATAGAAAATAAATAGAAGTGTACTGGGTATGTGTAAAAATTGTTGCTGTTTTCAGCTAAAATAAAGTAACAAAATATTTGCTAACGGCCACCCGCCGTTCAAAAATTCTAGATCCGCCCCTGGAGGTTCGGATAGTACACTTGTTGATTAGTGAGAATAGGAAGTTACATAATATTAGTTTCATAAACACCGGTAAATAAACACCAGAGGCTTTTTAAAGTAACATATCAAACAGAGAGACAGTGTTTCATCGGGATATCCAAACACCGAGAAGATCGTTGAAAGTACGACGCGCAGCGGAGTATTTTTGACGAAATTCGAGGTGTTTGAAAATGTGATGAAACACTGTCGCGAGTGTTTGATATATCTTCTCAATCGAAACAAAACCTAAGGAGTAAACGGGGAAATAAAATTGTAGGCGATTAAATCGAAGGAAAAGTTTATGTAAATTAGGACGAAATCTGTATCCGATTTACAGATACCATGAAACATTCATTTCTTTTTTTTATTTTCTTTATGGATTATTTTACACAACACACATTAAAACGAATAGTTTGAAACTATCGGACCAACAATAGAGCATTCTGATTGGCTGATTTTAGCTATTGGCCCTCGGTCTTGTACTAAGGTGCACTTGGAGTGCCGAATGGGCAAAGTTTGGCTCAAGGTCACGGCCTGTGGAGCGAGAGAAGCGAGATCTGTGCACCATGAATCAGATTCAAGTACTTTCCCCTTCGGCCCGAACCCAGTCAAGTATTTTATCATACTCCTTTTTGAGCTAGATTTGGTTGAAGTCTCTTCGTTAATACGAATGCTGAATTACGCGCGCTTGTCGCTGACTGAAAAAAAAGGTATTTGTCATAAATAGGTAGGGTTTTCTTTTTCTTTATTTTTGTTACAGAAGGAAATAATGTACGGGAACATTTGTATTGTAATATTTTATGAGTTGATCATACTGTAATTCTGACCCAAAAGTGAATAAACGCTTATTTATATTCCTGATTTTCATGTCTTGTCTACTTCACATTATTATGTAAAAAAAACCCAGTGGTCTCGAGGAAAACTATGATTTTGTTTATATCTTCATAATTTTGCAAGAACATGTACAGTCACCTGTAATACAGACCAATTTCGCGAGCGATTGATATTCTCTACCCCAGAGCCCTCGGTGCATCTGTGTTTTCTTTCCACCGTTGTTTCTGGATGTCGTATGCCAATTAGTATCTTGTGGAAAGAAATGATGGTATATTTTATTCCGAGCGAGTTCCCCAACAGGAGTCGAACCTAGGACCTTACGCACACCGATCGGACGCTCTACCACTCAGCTGAAGCTCGGCCGGGTTGTTCAAAGAACGATTAAGCTAATCCAGGATTAGAGTGTATTTTGATTTCAGTTTTGTAACTTTTCAGTGAGGATTTCTGTTTATATTTTCTGTCTTTCTGTTTTGACTTTGACTAATGTAAACTCTACAAAATATTAGTAGAGAAAAGCACTTTTATACAAGAGATATTAAAAGCTTGATTAAAGTGCCTATAACCCCAAAAGATTTTATTCGCTTAAATAAATTTACATGTAATTCGAAGTATTTCTGCGAAAAAAATTTTGGATTTGGTTGAATCCTCGATTTTATATGTTCTGTTGAAGTCGAGCTTGTCTGTTCCAAGACCGCGTATAGGGAGTCTGGTGCCGAATGACGTCGACCCAGTAATCGCACAATGTAACGCCTCTGTCATTTCTCTGCATTTATCTGGATAATTGAACATAAAAAGATCATTTCTATGTCTATGAAGAGTTTTGTTTCGAAATTGTGCGTTCTTCATCTATCGGAGTCAACGTTAAGTTAAGTCAACGTTAAGTTTCGATTCGGATTACTCCGAAATAAACTTTATTCCTGAAGTAGAAATCGAACAGCAATCAAGAACGTGTGTTTACATACGGTATGGCATACCGCAATCAATACTTCAAGCAGCATTGAGTAAGATATTTTCTCGGATGAACTGGAATGGACAACTAAATGCGAAAAGGAGGTCAAAGCGAACGAAGAGCTGAAAAGAAAGCTCAAAGGACCGCTTTGATAGCACTGAAGAAGTCAGTCAATGGTAAGCAATTCTTGTCACCTAATAATAATAATAATAATAATAATACTCCCATACGCGAGCGTATAATCATTTATATTTTTGCTTTAATGAGTATGTGTTTTGTAAAGCAATGGTTATTCTGTTAAATATCAGCTTTTCACCATTTAGAGGGTTTTAGTTTTACAACAGCCAAGTAACTGTCGCAGTTTTCTCGCTTTTTCTGACGCAGATGTCTCAATATAAACTGCTGTTTAGCGAGGTTACAATTTACCAATATACCATCCAATAAAGCCTGTTTTGGCTCAGTTCTTGGTCCATGCTTAAAGTTCGTATATCGATAGTTTATAGAGAAGTGTATCGACAGTTGCTTGAGACGCAGTCAAGAAATACATGTAGTCGATCGACTGAAAATCGGCTTGCTCTGCGCGGCTTGCTCGGGCCTGGAAATTGAAGCCGTAAACTGAAACAAGCTGAAAGGAAACAAACCACATCACTACAGTTTTGACTTCCTCAAACATTTGTAGTTGCTACTCTAAATAACCACCATAGTGAACTAAGTAAATTTTGAAGTAAAAACCGTCAAATAAATGACTTTTTCATCCTCGGTAAGCGAAGTGGGTATGTTCCCACGGTGGTCCGCATTAATGTTACGATGAGTATACGATTTATCGCACTGCTTATTTCCCGGCCTCAGAAAAACTTTTGGAGTTCAAATATTTTGTCATTTTTACTATTTTATCCTTCGAAAGAAATTCGTCTTTGACTTTCATCAATATTCCCGAAATTGCTTCGCACGAGGAAGAAATGTTAACACCATTACAGATGCGCGGTTTATCGCACTTCTTATTTCCCGGCCTCAGAAAAAAAGTTTGGAGTTCAAATATTTTGTCATTTTTCCTATGTTATCCTTCGAAAGAAATTCGTCTGAGTTTCATCAAAATTCCTGAAATTGCTTCGCACGAGGGAGATACAGATGTGCGATACATGAACGCTCGGATTCCACGCTCGAGCTACTGAATTTCATGGGCTGACATTTCTGGCTATCTTTTAATAGCGATGGTAGAGATAGGTTCTCCGTAAAATTTGGTCGAATTGCTAGTTTGCTTCGACCGGGTTAAATAGCCTTTGGAAGTCGGCTTGCTAGCCGGTGCACGGACAAATTACAGAGTTATTGATCAATGGCTCTCGCAGTCCCACTTTACTTCGCTCGTTTGAGTTTACAAAATCCACCGTCTTTTTCGTATATTCTCGACGATCTCTATAAAATGGTATAGTATACCTTTCTCTAAATCTGGGGTGTTGCTGCAACGGCCAACAACGCACCTGGAAGGCATTTCTACACATTTTTCGAATGTGTATCACATCTTCCTGAAGGAAATGAGTGGACGGGAAGGATCCAAGGATACTGGGTTTACGTCACTAGCCGCTAAACTCATTCCCAGTCAAAAACGCGGTCGTGAACAAAAATGGAGGCGTTTTTGGTGACTTTGCCGGGGCACAGAAAATCGAGGATTCAACCAAATCCAAAAATTTCTTCGCAGAAATACTTCGAATTACATGTAAATTTATTTAAGCGAATAAACATTTTTGGGGTTATAGGCACTTTAACTTTTAATATAGGATTAGCGTTAATCGGCTCAGCCTAGGAGATCAACTCGTGGGAGCTTATATTTCTTGCTTTCTTATACGCGGTTTGACTGTATTAATCTTTTTTTCCAAGAAATGTCAAATAACCTTTTGGAATATGAAATCAGTAAATCGTTATATATTTAGACCGACCTTTACCTGGCTATGTGTCGGTAAATCCCATACTTCAAACATATACTGACTAACTTTCTTCTCTGTTTCTACCCTGGTTCTTGGGAAGGCAACTAACGATTGATCTTCGCCGACACAAATAATCGGAAACGTTTGAAAATCTGTTTGTAAAACCAGGGTAACAAGAAGTTCTGGTATAAAAGGGACCTGGCCTGGCCATTCTTTATACACCTTCTAGTTGTCAATCAAATATCAAAGCGTAAACAGCTGACAAAGTGAAACGACCTGCGCTTTTTGTACGACCATTATTATACTGATACATTTTGTTGCATTTTTTCTAAGAATGTTCTGTTAAAACATTAGCAAGTTATATCTTATTTTGTTAATGATATATTTTGGTTTCATGAGATTTTGAAGCACGTTTTATAGTTTGCAGGACGCTTGACTCAACAACGTGCCACGACTGCAAAAGTACAAATCTGCATTTCGCGCCCGATAGGTGTGAATGTGGGAGGTGCCATCCCTTTTATAGCGGAACTTCTTGTTTAAGTAGTATTATGTGACACTGCAGTGTGTGACACAACTGAGGTTTGAATCCCTCCAGTGTCTATGACTGTGGCATCCTCTCCAGCTCCAACCATCATTATCATGAATGTCACGCAACACTCGGCTCCGCACTGTGGCTGGCTCCTCAGGCGTTTGATTGCAGCGATGAAGGTAGAGATGTAATGCACTGAGGAAGGAAAAGAGACTAAATAGCTTACAGATCAGTGAAATGGGAAGGGATTTGTAAACAATGGTTCCACTCAAATGACATGGAATTGGAAGAGACGTTCATAACTGTACACACACATTTTCTTAAGCCCCAAACCCCAAACATGAATCTGAGTAGAATTATGTTTTTGGGGGACTGAAACTGTCACAGTGACTGAGCTCGTAAAGTAAAGTAAAAGTAAAGCTGCACTCGAGCCAAACTGGCCCACACTGCCTGAGCTTATCCCGGTTTCCTTAGCATGAAGCTGGCTAGGAGTATTGCTACTCCCCTGGATGGGATGCCAGTCCATTGCAGGTTACCCCCAGCATTTTGTCACCGGTACCCATTTATACTCATGGGTGAAGGCAATGTGAAAGTAAAGTGCTTTGCTCAAGATCACAACACAATGACCCCGGCCAGGGCTCGTACCCGGACCGCTCGATCCGGAGTCCACCGCTCTAACCATTAGACCACCGCGTCTCCCACAACTCGAAAGGTCTGCTAGTGTATTTTGCCAACGTTAACTCACCCGCCATTAACGCTATAACAGTGACATTTACAGCCACCAGGATGACGGAAACAAAGGTGGAGTCCCTTTCTCCAAAACTGCTCGAAGAAGCCTCTTCTGTTGGTATTTTCAGCAGCATTCCGACGTTCAGGGTAACAAAGCTGGCAACAAGTGACACAAGCTGCAGCCAGTGTTCAAACGTGTCCCGGATTGGTTTGTAATACGCCACCAAAATGGAGTAGGTCCCGGATGTAATGGCGGCTGCACCGAGATAGCTTCGCGTGTTTGCTCCCATAAGGAAGAGCGTTGACGTCACCCACACTTTTCTTATCAACTCGATAATTTCCCAGAACCAACACTCCCGAGCGTAGTTTTCATAGAGAAAGCTCAGACCAATCGATATTTCTCTGCCCTTGTAATTCTGGGCTTCTGCTTGCTCATAGATCTTGTTGTGGTGGTACTTCCACAGCAAAAACAGGACTATCGCTGGCACGGCTACAACGAGGAAAAGTAAGAGGTAAACTGCTATCGCATAACTGTTGTACTTGTCGGTGAAGCACTGGACCGTGAAGTCGGTGCGCAAGAAGTACTGGCACGAGTTGGTGTTGGAGCAAATCCGCTGACATGTTGGCGACAGGAGGTTGAAGATGACGGCGCATGTCCAGGGGTACGTCACAAAAACCAACAGGCAAACGATGCGATATATTTGCGTTTTATCGGAGGAAAGAGATTCAGCCATTTCAGCACTGGCGACGGTCTTGTTTTTGGCAAGCACCAGTTTTCTTAGCTGGTAAATCAATATCGCCAGGACGAGAATTACAGTGTTTGATGCTACAACAAGCAACAACTTCGTGTAGGCATTCACCGTTACATTGTCGACGAAACACTGCAAAGGAATAACCTCCAACAGGTTTAGCTGCACCATGTTGGCATAATGCACTACTGTCAATAACGCACTCGGCCATTCAACGTAAGAAAACGTGTTCAAAGTACCGGAAGTGACTTGGTAAAAGCTAATGATAATCTTAAGTCGGGCAAGGATCATATCGGTCACTGTTCTACCGGATGCGCATTTTCGTCTCTTGCCCAAAAAGATACTTGCCGCGAGAACAGCAATGATGATGACAATTCCGCTCACTTGTAGAATGAACCAAAGCATTTTAGGACATTCGCGGCAACGGTTCAACAGCTGGTAATGTCCTTTGCTGCACACGGCGCATAGGGGACCATAGTAACCA